CCGATTCAACTAATTCATTCTGCTCCTCTGTGAACATATCACCTATTCAATGCAGGAAAATTTTGACAAACTGCAATTGTCTTAATATGAAAGATGATACTGCTGCATCTTGGATATCAGACAACATTCTTGGTTGCCATTACATAGAGACAGAAGTTTACTTAGATTATCATGTAGGTTGTTTTTCTAGCGTGAAAACATAAACTATAAATAAATGATCAAATAGCTTGATTTGCCACCATTACTCCAAGGATGTACTGGTAGCAGAGATATTTTGAGTTGCTCGGACACGGGTACGGATCTAGAGGTCGAATCCTTCAAGATGTAAATTCTAAGATTCGGGGATACGGATCCTAGTACGGATACGGGTGCGGGGATTCGGCTAAAAATAATTCAAAAATATAAAAATATTTCTAAATTATGAGAAATTTTGTGGAATACTTACGTATAGCTTGTCAAGTGGATTTCTTTTTTATTCTCAAGTTGTAGATAAGTAAATGATTAATTTCCTAGATAAGGTATACTTTTTTCAAATTTGCCCTAGTTTTGGTTTTGATTTAGGGAATCAAATTGTATCTCATCTCGAATATTTCCGTCCGTCGTGGTCAAAGTACCCAAAATTGTTTGATCAGATCAGGTACGGATCCCATACCCACACCCATACTAGTGTCGTGTCGATACGGGTGCGGCACCTAAACTGCCATGTCGGAGCAACTTATAGTTTCAGCTCAGGCATTATTATCTTAAAACAGATCCAAGACTTGGAACAGAGAACTTGTTAGATCATGCAACAGACTATTCAAAGCATCACATATACCAAATTTTCAAAGCATCAGAATTAGGTAAGAGCTCATTGAAACAGATCAAAACTCCAATAACCCACCCCAACCCCCCTCAAAGAAAAGAGAAGGATAACTTGTAATGTTTTNCCCCCAAAGAAAATAGAAGGATAACTTGTAATGTTTTATACAAAAGAAGGAACTGCAAAAGAAAATAGCACTTCACATTTAATAATTAAGAAAAGCACTTTGATTATTTACAAAAAGAAATATTGATAGCATAGAACTCCAAGAGTTCCTAAAAAGGAATCTACATAAAGATGCACAATGGGTTGTGATCTCCATATATGGTCTTGGCAATCCTCCCCTCATTTCTTCACATGGTATCAAAGCCATTGTTATTGTATTTCTCAACGTTGGGCCCCGTGTTATTTTTTGGTGGAGAGCAAATACCACTATTTTGTTTTGGATATCTAAATTGATTGTTACTGCTGATAGCTCCAATTGCATCATATGAATTACACAAAAAAGGCGGTATCATAATCAATTCGTGGTTTTAATTAAACCCTTTTGTTTTATGTAATGGTATTTGATTGACACATGTTTTAAAATATTAATTTGATTTACATTATATATTGGAGATGTATTTTTTCTCTAGTGCAAGTCATTAAGAAGGTAGGGGGTTTATTGTTGTTGTTGCAAGTCATTAAGAATTGGAATCGATAAGATATAAACTGTCTTAGAAAAATAAAAATTTCCTATCAGAAGAGACTAAATCGAGAAAGAAGAGGGATCCTCTTCATATTTTTGCACCAGCAAACAAGCCAAAACACGAAAAAGGGGTTTTTTTGGTGTGTGTGTGTGTTTTGGGGGGGGGG